CAGCCCGCGGCGCCCGGCCGCGCCCCCTCCCACCCCGCGGCGCCCCGGCACCCCTCTCCTCCCCCGGCGGGCTCGGCGGAGCATTGTACTCACATCCGGGGCTGGGTTTTGCTTTAATGCGAAACGTAATTAACCCGGAAAAAAGAGCCGAGAGACAAGAGAGAAGGAGGGGTGGGGGTGAGGGGGAGAAGAGCGAGAGGAGCGAGAGGCCCCGAGAGTTTGGCAGCGAGATAAAGAAATCCCCCGAGAGCTACGGCCCGGCCGGCCCGAGAGGCGCGTCCCACCCCGATGTGACCCACCCTGCCCGAGCCCCGGCCACCGCACGGCGGGGTAAGTGGGGCGCCCTGCGGGCCGGGGCGCAGAGAGGCGTAGAGGGGCGCGCGGGGGCAGGCGAGGCTGGGAAGCAGGGGGAGCAGGGGAGCCCGGGCAGGGGCGCCCAGGGCGCGCAGGCGGGGCCGGGTGCGCCTGCCCTGGTGGCTGACGGCGAAGGGAAAGGTCGCCGCAGCCCCTGGGCGCCTCCTGTAGCCCCCGGGAAATCCCGGAGGGCAGCCCCTCCTCCAATCTTCTGGAGCGTCCGGGGCGGCCAAGGTCGCCACCGCCAGGGGTCGGGCTGCGGGGGTGGGGCCGCGGGAAGGGGGGGCGGGTGTTCTGCTGAGCTGCATTTTCTCACGTTTGCAGCGGCGAAACTTCTCTGCGGGTTCTGGCGCGGGAGCCACCGGCCTCGCAACGACTGCCCGGGCTGCGGGTAGGGGAGGAGAGCGGAGAGCGTCCCAGGCAAGTCCCTTGGGCTCGGATTGGGCCATGGAGCCTCGTTTTTCTCTTCCCTGTTACCTTATTACGTGACAGGCCTACAGTGCTCCCCTAGGGAGATCCGTTCCTTTCCCCTGGGTCCAGCGCGGACCCTCGGGCTTCTGGAACTCCAGGCTGTGGGGGGTGCCTTGAAGGAAAACTGTCCTACAACGCAGGTTCGGTGCCAGATTGGGAAAGCACCCTTGAGAGAGCTGTCTCTCGCTCTCACCAACTTCTTCCTCACCTTACACGCTTCCCTTTTCTGCTCGAGTCCTGAAGACTGTTACCTCATCAAAATAACAAAAAACCAAAAAATAAATTAACACAAAACAAAACAAAAAAGGGAGGAGGGAAGGGGCAGAAGAGGCCGTGCAGGAAGGAGAAGTGTACAGGCACCTCCAGAGAGGAGGCGCGGCGGGGCAACCTCCACTTGGGCCTCGCACATCTCCTCCCCCAGGCCGGCCCCCCCAAGCCTTTCGCCTAAGGTTTCCTTCCTTCTTCATGAGTTTGGGTTCTAGCTGAATGTTCCCCTTCTAACTCCTTCTCCTGCTCCTCCTCTTTTCTTTCTTTAGGACTCCAAATGGGGTTTTCCAGAGGAGCGTGAGCAGCAGAAAAGAGGGAGGGGGAAAAGCCTCTACCAGGCCTCCAGCTGTGGCCCTTGGAGGCACCTCAGCCCGCTGAGAGGTGGTTGCACTTGGGCTGAAGTTCCAAAATTGTACTTATGTTCTTAATATATCTAAGTCAGTTCCCTTTCTCCTTTCTGGAGCTTCATCCTTTTTCTTTGGTGGCACAGCCTTCAGAAACAGTGAAACCAAAGGTCTGGAAAGAATAGAAGGGCTTGTTTTCTGTTACACGGTTGCATTCAGTTGACATGTAATGGATAACAAGGATGTGAAAGGCAGTGTCCAAGGAAGGCCAGCCTCTGTCTTCAGGGAGTCCGATGGCAGTCACAGGCGGTCCACGAGTGCCTCCAACACAAAGTGGACTGCTAAAATAGAGATCCGGCATGCTTTGAGAAACCAGGGGAAGCTTTTTGGAAAGCATCATCCTTTCAGGTATTTGTCTTCTCCATGTGTGCGCCGGAACACGATGACTTTTGCCATAGCAAAAGTCTACCTTGTAGTCTAGACCCTATGGCCAGCGTGATGTAGGACATCTCCTAGGTGCTAGGCAGGTGTTTGTTGAATGAATGAATGAATGAATGAATGGCTGCAGGTACATGAATTGTTTGCACCTGTCCGGATGGAAGGGAAAAGAGCAGTGTGGCAGTACCTCAAGCCTGTAGAAATTCGGTTCACTGTGCTGGTGCATGAGGATTTCCTCTGGATGTTGCCTTTAGACCTTTTTGGTGAGCCTTTTTTTTTAAGCCCCCCTTTCTACAAAGTGTCTGTGGCGCCCCTGGTGGTATTTCAGCTAGTTGATGATGGGAGCCTTGCTCACCTCACAGGTGAGGGTGATCACCTAGGTACTGATTTGCAAACCACCTGCTCCTGGGTAGAGAGTTTGCAAGCCCTTCTTTTCCCTCTTGTTGGTGCTTTCTTCTCTCTTCTGTAAAATGAAGTAGGGCCTGCATGCCCCATCTTGTCGTCCTGGTGAGCTGAACCGTATTGGGATCTGTATTTTACTAAGGTTGAAATAAACCCTGAAGACATGCAGGTTTTGGCTGGTGTCTACCTATGGAGAAATTCTGCAAAAGCGGGAAGGCAGAAGCATTAGCTCTATCAGTCAAATCCTCCCGAACAACCAGCTCTCCTGCTTGCTTGCTGGGTGTTTCCTCAAAGTGCTGGAAGGCTACGAAGCCCCCAAACAGCAGGAGCACGGTCTTCACGGTGTGCATCAAGTGGCACTTCCCTGATTGCCCGTCTTCTTCATGAGGCAGGTGAACAGAGGGCTTGGAAAAGAGGGTCTGGGTGCTGGCACATTGGACTGCCCCACCTCCTCTGTCTTTCTACCCTGAGCAGTTTGGGTTGCCTTACTTTCAGTTTTCCATCTGTCTTAGTGAGCTGGATAGGACTCCTGCAATCTAATCTGTTAGGCTTTGGAAAGGAAGGAAGCAGAGCAAATATTATAGTGTGACAGCCTATGGGGAGAGAAGAATCCTAGCCCTGCCCAGTATAAGCCCATCACTGAGCCAGGGAATTGGACAGGGTGGGGAGATAGGGCGGCTGAGAGGTGGGAGGGATGGGGTCCCTTCCTTCCTGTTCTTAGGAGGCCTGTGGTTGGTGCAGTGGGACTATAACTGGAAGACTCCATTGACCTTTGTTCCGAATCTTGGATTGCTCTGCTTTCCCATCCCCTGGCCCTTGCTTTTAAACCCATCCAACCTTTTAGGCTTTATAATTTATCTCCTTTCCGCAGAGGACTGAAAGCTGAATTGAACTCTTTCACCATGGAGGTCGCAGCGCTGCTGAGGCCGGAGCTCCTGACACTGCCCAGTGTGGGGCCAAAGGCTCTCAGCTTTGGGCCTGTGGGGTGCCTTTCTGCCCTCAGAGGCTGGAGGCTGAGATAAAGAGGGTGGGACGCTAGGTCCGCTTGTCCTTACACTCTTGAGAAACACTATAGTTAAAGCGCAAAGGCCGGGATTCGCTGTGCCATCAGCTAGGACTTACAGTTGGCCAGCCACTTGCAAAGGGGCTCTCCCGCGTGGGGATGCTCCTGTGGGCAGAGCCGGAGGCAGTCCCGGACTCCCTTCCCTGGAGCCTGACCTGCGTGCCTGGCTTCTGTTCACTTTCAGGATAGCCCGGCCAACATGGAGTCCGGGGATCTCTTGGATTTTTTTTTTTAAACCTCCTGCAGAATTTCAGAGATGTAAAATATGATGGTTCTTGGAGTAGAGGGAAGAGTAAGGGAAGTTTATGCCTTTCCTTGTGAGGGATCCCAGCCTCCCAACCTTTGCTTTTTGACATGTGCTTGTTGATACTGGAGCGGTAGAGACGTGCACGGCGTGCAGCTGCCTGCCCCGCAGTAAGCAGCTTTGCGGTGGTAATGATACTCACAGACTGCTTGCTAGGTGCTTCACACGAGCGCGCGCGCACACACACACGCACACGTCGTAACAACATTTACCCTGTGCTTCCTCTTCACCAGAACTCCTGTTAAGCACTTTTCACACACTATTTCATTTCATCCTTGCAGCCCCCTTTGAAGTAGGTAAAGTGATTCTCTCCATTTTGCAAATGAGGAAACGCCCAGAAGAGTTCAGTGGAGTCTGGCTCTAAAACAGGTGCTCTCTCACTTCACTCTCCCACATCGGTGGGTAACTGAAATCAGCACGCCCTTTCTATGGTCTTCTTGCAGGAGTTTCGACAAATGCACTCACGCTGGTCGCTGTCACCTGCACATCCTCTTTGCCACACCCAGCCCCTCCCCTCCCTCTCCCCCATGGGCCTCCTCCTTAGACAGACACACTTAGGCCACTTACAGTTTCCCCCAGCACTTTGCAAAAGTAGATAAGAGAAACCATGATGTTATCTTTTCAGTTTTCTGCAGCCCATGTTTCAGTGGGTCAGGTTTTAAATGAAGATTATTGCTCTGGATTCCTGCTTGGGAGCCCTGCAGTGAAACTGAATTCATTGTGTCTCCCAACTGGGGGGACTGCCACAATTCTGAGAGTTGGAGATCTCAGTGTTTATAGGCTAACTGATAAACCTGGTGAGGCTGCTCACCTGTGCTTATGATCTCTGGTGGAGCCTTGAGCCATGGGAAGGCCTTTGTCTCCTACTGACTCCAACTACCACATTTTCTGTGACCATAGATGAAGCCTCTGTTAAGAGAGGTCATGACTGTTTAAAATATTTTTGTTGCTTTTGGCATCTTTATTGCGGCGGATCAGTGTTCAGTTTCTCCAGCCTGTTTCCTGAAATGTGTCCCCTTAAAAATTCCTTCTTGAGTGTCTTTTGCCCTCCCCTCCAAGTTCTAGGGTCCGGTGGGGTTTGGGCTGTCTGCGTCACAGGGGCACCTTTTCTTAACTTCCCCATTGCTGCAGATGTTTGCATTCCTAACTCTGCACTTCCGCTGGGAACAAGTTCTCTCTCACATTATTCTCCTGCCTTAAGACTACTTGGAATGTGTTCTTATGACACTTTCAAAATGCAGTGATAGTTTAACAGTAGGAGATAGACGCTCCTGCACTTTCTAAGTTATAATCTTCGGTCCGTTCCCAAGGATGTGTTTTGAAATAGCTATGCCTGGGTCTTGTGGTTTTTACTGGGCCGTTGGCATGGTTGAAACTCCGCACTACACACTTACGTATGCTGCAGACTTGAACATAGGTGAAGTCGGCTCACATGGCCCGTGCATATTCTAGCAGTAGCTCCACAGCCCGGTTCCTGTCTGCTGTATTACAGCCCTCTGAGACCTCTGATGTCATTTCCCGATAAACTTTCTCCTGTCAAAGTTTAGCAATTTCCTGTTGGGATCCCTCTCACTCACCAAGGACCCTGCTCTCTCCAGCTTCCACCCTAGCAGGGTAACAGGACAGGAGATGGGTTACTGCACATCCCACCACATGTCGAGAAACACCTTCCTGACTTTTTCTGGAGCAAAATCCCTGAAATTCCCTGTCCTGCCAATGCAAAGTAACATGAAAGAAAAATCTCCAAATGTTAAAAATGAATTAATGTTTTTTTCATACTTGAACCATCAGAGGCTACAGTAGATGGTTTCATAATGGGGCCAATACCATTTAAGGCTTTATCTCTGTTATCACTTCCCTTTTTATTTACCTCAAAAGTGTCAAATGGTCAAGCAGATGAATCTCCCTTATTTCACTCTGTTTTTTCCTTTATCTCCAAACTACACTAGCGATCTTAAAAATAAGATATCCAAGGGGTGCCTGGCTGGTTCATTCGGTGGAGTGTGTGACTTTTGATCTCAGGGTTGTGAGTTTGACCCCCACGTTGGGTGTAAAGACGACTTGAAAAATGAAACCTAAAAAAAAAAAAAAAAAAGACATCCAGTAGAGCAGACTATAGCTTTAATGATGTAATAACTCTAAAGCTTTTCTTTAAGAAAAAAAATCTATTTATCCATCTCTTCATTCATCTATTCAGCCATTTATTTAAAAAATGCCAGCCCCGTCTCCAAAGTTTCAAGAAGGAAAATTCCACTGGGGGTCTTGGTCAGGGTTCCTGCTTCATTTTCCCAGAGCACCGGGCATGGTGTGGCTTAGGTGCTATAGCAATAGAGGAATATAGTGATAGACATGGGTGTGAATATTGAGTTGGCCTCAAGGACAGGGGCTCCTCTTATGAAGACTTGAGAGTAAGGAACCACCCCTGCAGGGGAAAGAATGGGCCCGTCTAAGAGGATGTTGCAATAAGAAATAAGAAACCCCAACTCAACCAGATTGGAGAGTGCCAAAGCCCTCTGGGTAGGTACCTGGCTCTTGGGCATTTGTGATGGGTGGGATGGTGTCTTTTTAGGTTTAAGACTTTGGGGCACCTGGCTGGCTCGGTCGGTGGAGCATGCAACTCTTGATGTCGGGGTCGTGAGTTCAAGCCCCATGTTGGACGTAGAGCTTACTTAAAAAAAAAAAAAAAGACTCTGAAACACCAAATAGTCCCAGGAGAGCTATAATTGAGGCAAGGTTTTGCTTGTTTGTGGACTCTGGAGACTTGACAAATTTATTCTCAGCTTCAAAATTTATACACTGGGGTCAGGGTGTGTGTGCAGTTAAATAGCTTTCCCCACCTGCTGAATAAAAGAACACACATTCCCTGTAGAACATTTGGAAAATATACAGAAGTAAATAAAATTCCCCCATAACCCATAGTCAATATTTTGGTGTCTATATGTCAGTCTTTTTCTATCCAAATATAGAAATACAAAAATAATATTTAGGGGATTGAGATCATATTGTAAGTCATATTGTATCTTTAAAAAACTTATGATATGATGAGTTTCTCCCTAATTCATTTAAAATTCTCTGAAAACATAGTTTTTTATTTTATTTTTTAAAGATTTTTTATTTATTTTTTGACAGAGAGAGACACAGTGAGAGAGGGAACACAAGCAGGGGGAGCGGGAGAGGGAGAGGCAGGCTTCCCGCAGAGCAGGGAGCCCGACGCGGGACTCGATCCCAGGACTCCGGGATCATGACCTGAGCTGAAGGCAGACGCTTAACGACTGAGCCACCCAGGCGCCCCGAAAACATAGTTTTTTAATGATTGTGTAATATTTCCTTATGTAAATGTCCCGTAATTTATTTAATTATCCCCTAATCATTGGGACATTCAGGACATTTCCAACTTGTTATTATGAATTCTAATGGAGTTGCCTTTTTAAAAATTTTAATCTTTATTTGCATCTTAGTTTATTTACTTGGATGGAATCCTAGAAGTAGAATTA